CGCGGCCTCTGGAGCTGGGGAGGAAGCACCTGTGAGGGTGTTAGCAGGACAGGGTGGCCCCCAAGGGCTTGGAGGGGGGGCAGCAGCGTCTCACCCAGGATGCTCTGTGCCCGTTGTTTCTGGCTGGGGTTTGAACCCCCCACCTGATGAGAGGGTGAAGAGAGGGGAAGCTCTCGGTCATAGGGCTGTGGAGGAACTAGTCGCTGTCCCCTGAGAGTGGGGGCGTGTAAGTGGACAAGCAGCCGGAGTGCGTGCATGCATCTTGGTGACCCAGGCCGGAGGAGGTGGGCTCAGGCAGTCAGGCGAGTAGACTGTGGCTTGGTCAAAATCCCTCCTGTCGGCTGTGTGGCTGGAGGACTCCGGACCCTGGCTTCCTCTGATGCCACAGCTGCCCAGGCCCCTTCCTCTCTAAGACATTCCCCCCTGCAACACACACCCCGGCTTCCTCTTCCCCATCACATCCTCCCTGGGGCTCTGGGGGAATTGAGGGCCACTCCGTGTCCTGTCTAGGCGAGCCCAGGCCCCCGCACCCAGCTGCCCCCTCCGCCCCCTCCCATGGCCTCCCCCTCCCGCACCCACGGTCCCAGTGCCGTCCTGTCCTGCTCCCCAGCTGTGGCTAGGCCTGGGACTCAGAACTTGCCGGGGATCAGGCCAGTGCTTCCCGCGACACATAAAAATACCCCTGACCTGAGACACCCCCACTTCACCCCACTCCACCCTATATCGGGCAACCTCTGTCTCAGGCAGCACTTCCGCAGCCCCGACAGGAAATGGGCTGGAGGCTCAGCCTCCCGCCATCTCAAAGCAACTTCTTGTTCCCCGGTTGCCCTGGGCCAGCCCTGGGGTTGTGCCCCTTGGCTCCAGCCCTGAAACCTTCCCAGGGCTCCGTCCCAGCAGCTCCGAGGGGACAGGATGGTGGACATGATTGCCAAGTTGACCAAGAGGCGGAGTCGGGCCCTGCAGGCACAGGTGGGGGACCTTCGCATTTGGGGGCAAGCTCAGCCTCTGATGGGGATGGCTGAGGGCCTCTGCGTCAAGGGGCCCCCAGCGGGCCTCCATCCTCTGGCCCTCTCAGGAGCTGGGTGAGCTGGGTTTTGGAGCAGGACATCTCCCAAACTTGGGGGACCCCTCCCTTCTTTCCTCGTTCCTTTTCCAAGGCCAGATAGGCATATCTGTGGGGGTGCTGCAGAGGGACGCTGAGAGATGGTGATCAGCTTGGGGGAAGAGAGGCAGGCCGGCCACCTGCTTGTGGACAAGGGGAGGGAACTGGAGATGAGGGGAGTGCTGGGGGGCCGGGCAGCTGGTGTGGTGAGAGCCAGAGCCCCTCTAGGCTCTGTCCTCTGGCCTGAGGTGGGGGACCACTTCCCCTTTCCTACTGGTTGGTGTTCCCCGTGTCGCTGTAGTGATTGGGGTCTGGGCCTCAAGAGCTACTGGTGCCCTCATCAGGGCCTTGTTGATGGGCTGTGACGGGTGTTGTCTGGGCGCCCAGGAGTTGTGGGCTGGGGTAGCAGGCCCTGCTCTAACTTGGGCGAGCTTCCCCTTGGAGGCCAAAAGGCACGGGGTGGGGGGGGGTGCTGGTCCCACCTGGCTTCCAGTCTGATCCTGGCTCTGCTAGGAGAGGAAAGCGCCTCTATCTTAGCACTGTGGGGGCCCTACAGAGGGTTCTAGAGTTTGAAGGGGCCTCAGGGCTGCTGCGGTCCGCACAGGGCTGCAGTGTCGCTAACAGGGGTGGACCCTGCCTGCTCACCCCCAGGGAAAGCCCCTGACTACCTCCCGAAGCAGCCTGTGTCTCTAGGGCAGCCCCAATCCTTAGAATGGGCTTCCTTCCAGGGGGCCCTGCCCTGCCCCCATTTGGCCTCTAATCTGCAGTCTGGAGCCCCACAATGCGACCCTCCCATGCCGGGGAGCCTAAGCATCTACCTCCTAGATCTGCTGTATATCCTCGAGGGGTGTTCCTTGTGCAAGATCCCCCTCAGCCTGACCAGCCTGGGACTGCCCGTGGACTCCTAGCCAAGACCAGCAGCCTGCAGGTGGAAATCTCCACTCTGAACAGCCTGGCTCCTTCCTTAGCTCATCCACCCCCCCGCCCCGCATATGACCTTCCAGCCTCTGTCGCAGGGATGGGAAGGCCACTGCCTCAGTGGGTCTAGCTGGGGTGGGCAGGAGGTGTTTTTGGTCATCTACCTTCCTCTGCCCACTGCCTCCATCCCATCCTCCCAAGGAGTCTCCTGGCTCCCGTGCTGAACCTCATTCCCAGGAAGCCCTCGTTCAAAGCTAACTTCAATCTCTCCTGTAGTGGGTGTGCGCGTGTTGGTTGTTGCTGAAATGTGGCCTGGAGTTGGCTTGCGTACTCAGGCAGTAAGTCCCTTTGGTGGACCTGCTGCCTGCTTCAGGGCATTGGGCCACCTGCTGGAGGGCGACCGGGGTCAGTTATGTCATCCTGGGTCCAGCCCTCAAAAAACCCCTGCCTTTGGGGTCAGAGGAGGTAGGCAGAGGGACGGACAACCAACAGGCCAGCAGGGCAGAACGCTGCCGGACCCTCGCGGGGGATGAAGAGAGTGACAGCAGGCTAGGCGTCTCTCCTGAGGGAGAAGGTCTCTCCCAGGAGGCTTGGAGTGGAGCTGCAGAGGAGTGGGGTCTGGGTAGGCAGGTAATGAGAGCGGGGGGTTTCCAGGCTGAGGGACCCCTGGAGCAAAGGTCCAGAGATGGGAAGACGGCTTTTGTGTTTGGGGGAGGGTCCACGAGCTGGCGTGGGTGGGATCCAGGATGCTCAGGGGGCTGCAGCCGGCAGAGAGAAAGAAGTGGGGTGGAGGGTCCTGCCTCAGCCACACAAGAGCTTGTGGGGGGAGGGAGGGGAGTGAGGAACTGGTGTACCCAGCTCTTCCTGGTCCCCCCCAGGTCTGGGACCTGCCCTCCGGTTGGTCTAGAATACGCTGCTTGTCTGAGAGTTTGTCTCCTTGCTAGCAGTAATTATCATGGACGTGCGTGCATTTCACTCATCCCCCCCACCCCCGCTCCCCGACCGTTTACACACGCTGCCCAGTGGGGATTTGGGTCCCTTTGTTCACTAACTGCATTCCCAGTGCCTAGAACAGAGCCTGCACTGGACAGGTGAATCTTTGTGGGACACATGAATGTGGTTTTGGGCGCCTACCTAAGACCGGGGAGAGGCCACCTTGACAGGACTCGCTTCCCCTCTTGGGGAGCTTACCACTTAGCGAAGGCATCAGAGCAACAGAGGGACTTCTGTGATTAAAAAAGGGGGGGCGGGGGTGGTTATTATACAAAATTTTGAGAAAGGTTTAAAGAAAAAAATAAATAAAAACAAACCCAATCCCTATAATCACACTGCCCAGAGATAACCTCTGTTAGCATTTTGGGGGGTTTCTAAAAACACATAATTGGAACTATATGCTGTTCACTGTGTTGAAATCTGCATTTCCCACGTCGCATTATATATTCTTAGAAACAGTATTGGGGCGCCAGGGTGGCTCAGTCAGTTAAGTGTCTGCCTGGTTAAGCATCTGCCTTTGGCTCAGGTCATGATCCCAAGGTTGGGTCAGGCTCTCTGCTCAGCGGGGAGCCTGCTTCTCCCTCTCCCTCTGCCTGCCCCTCCCCCTGCTTATGCTCTCTCTCTCTCTCTCTCTCTCTCTCTCCCCCTGTGTCAAGTAAATAAATCTTAAAAAAAAAAAAAAGAAACAGAATTAATCTGGGGCGCCTGGGTGGCTCAGTCTGTTAAGCACCTGCCTTCGGCTCAGGTCGTGATCTTGGGGTCCAGGGATGGAGGCCCTCCCCCCCCATTGCATCAGGCTCCCTGCTCAGCGGGGAGTCTGCTTCTCCCTCTGCCCCTCACCCCGTGCTCTCTCTCACTTGCTTGCTCTCTCTCTCAAATAAATAAATAAATAAAATCTTTAAAAAAAAAAAGAAAAGAAAAGAAAAAACAATATTAATCTTCTGGTGCTGTTCTGCTGGCTGGGGTTTGATAGTGTAGTTATCTATCCCTGTGGCAGGCTGAGGGTGCTAGGCCGTAGTAGGCGCACTAGAGGAATCTCGGGGAAAGGCCTTGAACCTGACACCTGAGCTGAGTCCTAAAGAAGGAAGTGGAGTTGGCCAGGTGAAAAAGGGGTGGGGATGGGCTGAGGCCCAAGACACAGCCCAGAGGGTGGGGCCTCCAGCCAACTCCCTGCTACTAGAGCTTAAAGTTCAAGGCAAGGGGTCAGGAATGACAGGAAATAAGGTGGAAGACAGGCAGGTGACAGACGCCTCTGGTGCCCTGGTGCCCTGTAGACTTTGCCCGGCAGGTGGCAGGGAGCAGTGGAGTGTTGAGTATGACCAGACTCATGTTCTGTGTGACTGAACCCTCCAGCGCCCCCCTGCTTTCCTTTGGACAGCAAGAGGGCCTCATCTTTCCTTGCTCCTCCTTCCTCCCTCCCATCTGGCTCTCCTCTCTCTTTCCTTTCTCTGCAGTTGATTCTCAGGCCTGCAAAACCCACGTTCAGGAAGTTTCAGTCCCAGATCCAGAGGTAGTACTGATTCCAGTCCCAGAGCTTTCAAGGGCCAGGAAGGAAGGAGGGGTGGGGCTGCAGAGTGCTGCAGGGCCCTGCCCCCGTGTGACCTGCAGGCGGAGGAAAAGGAATGGGGCCCAGGCCATTTCTCTATTCCCGCCCAGCCTCTGATTCGCCCCCTGGAGTGCAGAGTCAGTGCACAGCTGGGAGAACTCAGTTATAGATATTTTATTATTGTTAATAAATAATTAATGTAACTGCCCTGTGCATCTGGGTCATTTCATACTTGGCAATGCACTTTCAAGAATATTTGCTCATTCTCTCTTCACTACAATTTCTGGAGCGGGCAGGACAGCCATTGTGCAGCCGGCGGAACTGAAGCCGGGGGTACCCTAACTTGCCAAAGGTCACCCAGAAGGCAAGTCAAGTGGCCGAGTCGGGACTGTGTGACCCCGGAGCTGCCCTGAAGGTCACGTCTCCTTCCTCCTCCCACAGGTGGACGACCCCCCGGAGGAGCCCGTGTACGAGAACGTAGAGCGGCAGCCTTCGGTCCCTTCGCCGGGCGCCAGCGCGCCCCCCCGGCCCCCGGCGTGGGAGACGCACACGGACGCGGGCAGCGGGCGTCCCTACTACTACAACCCAGACACGGGCGTGACCACGTGGGAGTCGCCCTTCGAGGCTGCTGAGGGCGCCGCCAGCCCGGCCACCTCCCCGGCCTCGGTGGGCAGCCGCGAGAGCCTCGAGACCGACTGGGGTCAGTATTGGGATGAGGAGAGCCGCAGGGTGTTCTTCTACAACCCGCTGACGGGCGAGGCCGTCTGGGAGGACGAGCCCGAGGACGAGCCCGAGGACGAGCTGGAGATGCAGCCGGGCCTGAGCCCGCTCAGCCCCCGGGAGCTGAGGGTGAGGGGGCGGGGCCTGGCCCGGGGTGGGCGGGGTGGCGCCCCGAGGGTCTCAGACCCCGCCTCCTGCCCCCCGCAGCCCCCCGGGAAGGAGGGAGAGGGGCGGGGCCTGGCCGGGGGGGGCGGGGCGGGGCGGCTCTGAGGCCTCAGACCCCGCCTCCTGCTCCCCACAGCCCCCAGACTGCTCGTGGGGGCGAGGCCTGGTCTAAAAGGGCGGGGCCAAGGGTGCGTACTGGCTCTGAGACGCTCTGACTCAGTCTTCTGCTCCCTGCAGCCCCCTACCCCTGAGACGGATTACCCCGAGTCGCTGACCGGTTACCCGGAGGAGGACTATTCCCCGGTGGGCTCTTTCAGTGAGCCTCGGTCCACCTCGCCTTTGGCCGCGCCCCCCGGCTGGTCTTGCCAAGTGAACCCCGACGGGCAGACGCTCTACACCAACCACTTCACCCAAGAGCAGGTACGGGCAGCGGGCACATGTGCCCGGACAGCCC